GGTGGCAAGGACACACCCAAGAAACACCCACATCAAACCACACCCCCAAGCCAACTCACGTTTGGCTTCTGTCATGGCCGCCATCATTTCTTGAGGAGCAAGCCAAAAAACGAGGCCAAATCAGCAGGTGCAGTTCCCCTTTTAACAATGGCAGTTGCAAATTGAGTTAGAAAACCATTATGCATCTGCAACAATCAACAATTATTCTGAAGACTAAGATGCCTAGTTTATGGCACAGTGGTTTATTTTAAATGCATTTTACATTTTGACATTTACAAATTATCATTACCAAAATGTGTCCGGATTAAGTTCTTGGGTCATTTTATAAAATTGTTCTTTAGAAAAATCTAATTTATTTTCATAAAACACAATATGCTACTGTAGTTTGTACATAAATAATACAAATGGTATACTAGTTGACATTCACATGAAACTATAATATTTATTATGTAAAAACTGTCTGTGGACATGTTTCTCATTACCATAACACTTTCAAGTTGCTGTAAAAAATAAAAAATAATTTTATTCACCCATGATGCATCATCTAGATGAGTAGTCCTTAGATGAGCACAAGTTCATTTAATTTCTTCATGTATATGCCATCAGAATGAAGATCTTATTCTCAAACACCCCCTTTACGACACTTTCTCATTACCGAAATGACTAAAAGGCTCAAATTAGGAAAAAATGTGAGAACCATTACCTTACCAACAGAGGCATGAATGGGCTTTAGTGATGTGGTCAATTGTTTGCTGTCTCCTATTACTTGCAGATTGAGTTTACGGCCTATCATTACCGAAACACATCTCATTACCAAGTCATTTTTAGGTCCATTTCGGTAATTAACCTTAATTTCAGTAATGATAATAAGCAAATGTAATGTATACTCAATGGGTGTGCTGTGCTAGTAACTTTATTTACTAGGACTACTGCTTACACCTATGATATAGATTTTTTGTAAAACATCAGTTAATTGATTACGTAAGGGTTGTCAAGACATATGGGTGAATAAACCCCATTTTTGTATTTACTTAAAACCACAATCTGGAGTTTGTTTCAGCAAAGAGCAACCACACCATTTAAAGGAGGATATCTCCCATTTTGACATGTGTACCTATTTTAGCACTTACCTATACTGTTGTTTGATCCCAAGACAGTTTGGTCCATATGCCACATATTTAGATACTTTATAGACATACCATGTTATGCCATTTGCCCATAGAATCCCATTCAATTTAGAAATGCATTAGAACCACAGATATCCACGTCCTAATACACCAATATTACCTGGAAAGACCTTGGAGAAAAAAAGAAAAACAATTATTCACTGTTTTTATGCTAAAGTCCACTTTTGAAAATATTACAGTACTTATATTTATGCTAAAATAAGGGGTATTTTAGTCAATTGCATTAAGATTGGTGATTTAATATTATGCAAGTCATTTGGGATTAACAAATGACAAGTGATGTATTGGGTTACTAATTCTCTAATAGAGCTCAGTACAGTTTTTCAATGGCAAACTATGCAACACTCATTACCTAAACATGCATTCTCATCATCAAAACCTGCTTATCATTACCGTAATGCACCAATATTTAGGAAATATTAGGAAAAATAAAACGTGTACTTTAGTAATTTGGGCTTAATCTGATGGTGTGACTTTTGTTCCCTATCCAAATATGTGTACATAAAAATAACATGTATACACAAGTAATTATGACAAAAAACAAGATTCAGAAAAGGTTGTTGCGGTAATGAGAAATTACTAAATGCATTTGAATTTACTTTTAAATAGATTTGTTTTCAGTGTAATGTTTAACTCAGCCCTTTTCATTAGATAAGCAATGTTTTAAAAAATGGCATTCATTTGTTTATTACTTTTTTGGACTTCAAACTGTTACAGAGAATTTTTGCGTTGGTAGTTGTAGAAATTGTGGTAAAATACATAATATCTGATCAACAAAACAATAATTATGAAATAGATAAAAACAGATCCAAATCTTAGTGATCCAAGTGGAATGATGGTGGAATAAAAAATAAATACAAATAATAATAAATTGGGTCAAGTGCCAGTTTTGTGACAATCACCCGGCACTTGTTGGTCTATTCAAGAAGAGTTGGGTTGAAGAATTAGGTTGCGATTAGGACAAACTGAATTGCTTTCATGGAGGACTGGCATGGAGGACTGGCTTGAATTGTGAGGATGACCACACCATTTTCTTTCATAATCTATTGGTTTTCTACCCAAAGTTGCAAATAAACTGTTTAAACACAAGAGACCAGCAAAATGTATTAAAAGTGTGGCAGTGGCATCTAGTGGTACTTTCCCACTACTTTATGGTAAATAATGCAAACGACGTCGATGACCTAATTTCTCTGAACAGGGGGAAAAAAACATCACCAGATTCACAGGGAATACATTACATGGTATGTAGAAGCAATACTCCAAGCCACAGCTTCATACTACTTGTCAAACATCGAGAACTGATACTGTATAGGCCTACTGGTTGTTGGGGTGGGGTTGGTGTTGGGGGTCCGTGTGTGGCTTTTGACTTTCTTTTTTTATTCCTCATGTCTTAATCACTGGTAGGAAGAAGTTTGGTCCAAATCGGATGCATTTATTTAATATCTGAATCCTATAAATTTAAAATGGCCAGTTTGGCTGCAATCAATTAGCTTAATTTCTCTGATAAATCTATTTCTACAAAATGTTTCATGAATGCTAATCGTGTCTGTTACTAACTACAGAAACGATTTCAGAACTGTCTGAGATGGTGGTTGTCAAAAACCTCACATTGAGGAAAGTGAAAGTTGGTTAGTGTGTGTACTGAATAAGATGTATTCTAACCAGGGTGACAATATTGAGGTCAATGAAAGGCTTTTGTTATGTTCTCACTATTAGGCAAATATGAGTGAAGTGGTCATGTGCATTTCTTGCTGAGTCATTTAGCTGTTGCAGAACTAGTAACTCAGCATCAATATCAGTTGTCTCCTGTCATTGGTTATTGATAGGTTCAAGAGTGCTTATTTCCCATTGTTATGAATAACTTTCTTGGTTACTTTTGTTTAGTTTAGCCTAACTCTTCAAATCCTCAATCATTTTCTATAGCGGGCCTGCTCTTCTCAGGCAAAGCAGTATTTAGGCCCAAGTGGAGAAATGGTGGAAATAAACGGAACTCTAACCGTTTACAAACATTGATCCTTCTCTGATTTAGTGGCTGACGAGAGTGAATGACAGCCTGCAGATACCCACAATGACCAGAGTTGAATTGGTCAGGATTTAAGGCCAGATAGAAGCAAAATCCTAAATAAGAGTGTTACTGGTCTCTCCAGTGTTCTAATGTATACACTGCTCAAAAAAATAAAGGGAACACTTAAACAACACAATGTAACTCCAAGTCAATCACACTTCTGTGAAATCAAACTGTCCACTTAGGAAGCAACACTGATTGACAATACATTTCACATGCTGTTGTGCAAATGGAATAGACAACAGGTGGAAATTATAGGCAATTAGCAAGACACCCCCAATAAAGAAGTGGTTCTGCAGGTGGTGACCACAGACCACTTCTCAGTTCCTATGCTTCCAGGCTGATGTTTTGGTCACTTTTGAATGCTGGCCGTGCTTCCGCTCTAGTGGTAGCATGAGACGGAGTCTACAACCCACACAAGTGGCTCAGGTAGTGCAGCTCATCCAGGATGGTACATCAATGCGAGCTGTGGCAAGAAGGTTTGCTGTGTCTGTCAGCGTAGTGTCCAGAGCATGGAGGCGCTACCAGGAGACAGGCCAGTACATCAGGAGACGTGTAGGAGGGCAACAACCCAGCAGCAGGACTGCTACCTCCGCCTTTGAGCAAGGAGGAGCAGGAGGAGCACTGCCAGAGCCCTGCAAAATGACCTCCAGCAGGCCACAAATGTGCATGTGTCTGCTCAAACGGTCAGAAACAGACTCCATGAGGGTGGTATGAGGGCCCGACGTCCACAGGTGGGGGTTGTGCTTACAGCCCAACACCGTGCAGGACGTTTGGCATTTGCCAGAGAACACCAAGATTGGCAAATTCGCCACTGGCGCCCTGTGCTCTTCACAGATGAAAGCAGGTTCACACTGAGCACATGTGACAGACGTGACAGAGTCTGGAGACGCCGTGGAGAATGTTCTGCTGCCTGCAACATCCTCCAGCATGACCGGTTTGGCGGTGGGTCAGTCATGGTGTGGGGTGGCATTTCTTTGGGGGGCCGCACAGCCCTCCATGTGCTCGCCAGAGGTAGCCTGACTGCCATTAGGTACCGAGATGAGATCCTCAGACCCCTTGTGAGACCATATGCTGGTGCGGTTGGCCCTGGGTTCCTCCTAATGCAAGACAATGCTAGACCTCATGTGGCTGGAGTGTGTCAGCAGTTCCTGCAAGAGGAAGGCATTGATGCTATGGACTGGCCCGCCCGTTCCCCAGACCTGAATCCAATTGAGCACATCTGGGACATCATGTCTCGCTCCATCCACCAACGCCACGTTGCACCACAGACTGTCCAGGAGTTGGCGGATGCTTTAGTCCAGGTCTGGGAGCAGATCCCTCAGGAGACCATCCGCCACCTCATCAGGAGCATGCCCAGGCGTTGTAGGGAGGTCATGCAGGCACGTGGAGGCCACACACACTACTGAGCCTCATTTTGACTTGTTTTAAGGACATTACATCAAAGTTGGATCAGCCTGTAGTGTGCTTTTCCACCTTAATTTTGAGGGTGACTCCTAATCCAGACCTCCATGGGTTGATAAATTTGATTTCCATTGATAATTTTTGTGTGATTTTGTTGTCAGCACATTCAACTATGTAAAGAAAAAATATTTAATAGGATTATTTCATTCATTCAGATCTAGGATGTGTTGTTTAAGTGTTCCCTTTATTTTTTTGAGCAGTGTATATATATATATATATATATATATATAGTTTTAATTTCAGTTGTCTGTTTCCAGACAGATTTCCAGTCCCTGCCTTTCCAGAGCTCCCCCTCCCCTCCACCCCCGTTCAACCCCACCCTGATGAAGACAGCGCGGGAAGCAGACCTGGAAGGTAACTTCTTATGATAACAGAAACACGACCCACTCCACCACACTCACTCCTACGCCAGACTGTGGTCAGCTCAGCACACATGGTGCACTATAGGCCCTATGCCAGTGTACACAATACATTGTAGAATTGTTTTATTAAAACTCATTTATTATGAACATTTGGTCTAAGACCTTTTTCAAGACAACGTGAGATTCACACCAAAATTGTTCTAGAATGTTGATTTTTTTTTTTGGTGCAAAAACTTCCTGCACTACAACGAGATAAGCTTGGTAGTGGGAGTGATAACCCTTTTCTAAAGTGTACACGGTAGATTCACTTACAGTGCCTTCAGAAAGTATTCACACCACTTGACATTTTCCACATTTTGTTGTGTTACAGCCTGAATTTAAAATGGATTAAATTTAGATTTGTTTTGTCACTGGCCTACACACAATACCCCATAATGTCAAAGTGGATTTCTTTCTTTATTTTTTAAATTAAAAATGAAAAGCTGAAACGTCTTGAGTCAAGTGTTCAACCCCATTTGTTATGGCAACCCTAAATAAGTTCAGGAGTACACATTTGCTTAACAAGTTGCATGGATAATAGTGTTTAACATGATTTTTGAATGACTACCTTATCTCTGTACACTACACATACAATTATCTGTATGGTCCCTCAGCTGAGCAGTGAATTTCAAACACAGATTCAACCACAAAGACCATGGAGGTTTTCCAATGGCTCGTAAAGAAGGGCACCTATTGGTAGATGGGTAAAAAAAAGAAGCAGACATTGAATATCCCTTTGAGCATGTTGAAGTTATTAATTACACTTTGGATGGTGTATCAATACACCCTGTCACTACAAAGATACAGCGTCCCTCCTAATTCAGTTGCCGGAGAGGAAGGAAACGGCTCAGGGATTTCACCATGAGGCCAATGGTGATTTTAAAATATACTGAACAAAAATATAATAGCAACATGTAAAGTGTTGGTCCCATGTTTCATGAGCTGAAATAAAAGATCACAAAAGCGTATTTCTCTCAAATGTTGTGCACAAATTTGTTTACATCCCTGTTAGTGAGCATTTTTCCTTTGCCAAGATAATCCATCCACCTGACAGGTGTGGCATATCAAGAAGCTGATTAAACAGCATGGTCATTACACAGGTGCACCTTTTAATATTTAATATTTAATTTAATATTTAAATTTTAATATGCCATTTAGCAGATGCTTTTATCCAAAGCGACTTACAGTCATGCGTGCATACATTTTTGTGCATGGGTGGTCCCGGGGATCGAACCCACTACCTTGGCGTTACAAGCGCCATGCTCTACCAGCTGAGCTACAGAGGACCACAATGCACCTTGTGCTGGGGACAATAAAAGGACACTCTAAAATGTGCAGTTTTGTCACACAACACAATGCAACAGATGTCTCAAGTTTTGAGGGAGCATGCAATTGGCATGCTGACTGCAGGAATGTCCACCAGAGCTGTTGCCAGAGAATTGAATGTTCATTTCTCTACCATAAGCCGCCTCCAACGTCGTTTTAGAGAATTTGGCAGTACGTCCAACCAGCTTCACAACCGCAGACCACGTGTAACAACGCCAGCCCAGGACCTCCACATCCGGCTTCTTCACCCATGGGATCGTCTGAGACCAGCCACCCGGACAGCTGATGTATTTCTGTCTGTAATAAAGCCCTTTTGTGGAGAAGAACTCATTCTGAATAGCTGGGCCTGGCTCCCAAGTGGGTGGGCATAGCGCCCCTGTCCAGTCATGTGAAATCCATAGAGTAGGGCCTCATTTATTTATTTATATTTACTGATTTACTTATATGAACTGTAACTGAGTAAAATCGTTGAAGTTGTTGCATTGTTTTTTTTTTCAGTATAGAATCACTGATCTTAATGCAATTTACTAAAATATCCCTTATTGTAGCGTAAGTATTCATACTGTAATTACGTGCATGTGTTTTCAAAAGTAAAATGTGGAATTAAGCATAGTGACATTTTGGGAAAAAGTAATTTCACCAAGGTCTTTCCAGGTAATATTGCTATTATGATGTGGATATGTGTGGTTCAAATGTATTTTAGATGTATAAATTGAATGGGATCCAATGGGCAAATGGCATAACATGATATGCCTATAAAGTGTCTTAGGATCAAACAACAGTATAGGTAAGTGCTAAAACGGGTACACATGTCAAAATGGGGGATATCCTCCTTTTAAGTGGTGTGGTTGCTCTTTGCTGAAACACAAACTCCAGATTGTAGCTTTAAGTAAATTAAATGGGGTTTATACACCCATATTTCTTGACAACCCTTACTTAATCAAATAACTGTTTTACAAAAAAAATCTATACAATAGGTGTAAGTAGTGGTCCTAGTAAATAAAGTTACCAACACAGCGCACCCATTGAGTATACATTAGAATTAACTTATTATCATTACTGAAATTATGGTTCTCATTACCAAACGGACCTGAAAAAGATTCTGTAATGAGATGTGTTTCGGTAATGATAGGCATTTAGCTCAATTTGCAAATAGTAGGAGACAGCCATTATGAGTCTGCAAACAATTGACCACATCACTAAAGCCCATCAATGCCTCCATGTCGGTAAGTTAATGGTTCTCAATGTTTTTCCCAATTTGAGCTTTTCAGTCATTTCGGGTGATTTGGCAATAATAGAAATCAGGAGGTTGTGACCAAGCTTTGTTCCACGGATTGAAGGGGAAAGGTCCGTCTTTGCCATTCTGACTCATATTGACATATGAAGTTATTGAGACATTCAGTGAGGTAGTCTACATATAGCTTACATAACCGAAGTTCAGGTTAGAAAGAGGATTGGACTTAGACACCAGAGAGTCCGTGGGAGTTGCGCGAACAGAAAGAAGCACAAAGAACACTCCAACCTGAGTGAGTACAGGTCCTTGTATCAGACTCTTGATGTAGAAAATTATCACTATACTTTATTAAAAATCTAAGTTCTTCCAGAGTTTTTGTAGAATCAAGATAGACTTTTATTACACAAAGTAACGTAAGCCGAGATTATCTGCAGAGCACCTCCCCTCTACCTCTCAGCTCTCCGTTTATATAGTCATTCCCATACATCCTAGCTCAAAGCCCCTCCCTCTTGGGTTCCCCCACCACCATCTTCAGTTTCCCTCTCTCCACTGCTCTGCCCACTTCCTTAGTCTATGATAGTGGCTAAATTGGACTTTTAGTAGTACAATCAATCCAGTCCTTATCATGCAAAAACACTCATGTTTAGTTTAAACTCTGTTCAACCCCGGCTCTCCCGGGCTTGACCTGAAGATTGATTGTTGGACATGACAGATCCATACTTAATCTTTCAAACATACACAAACCCCACCCCATCATGCTGTAATCAATCAAGAAGATAGCCAAGGAGAGACAAAGGGTTTAGCCTGAACTCTGTTCATCCCTGGCTCGTTCCAGGGATATGCCTAAGGAAAGCCACAGGGTCATAGTCTGATTGCAGTCACAGATAAGATAAGACAACTGTAGAATTTGTGTCAGATGCCCATTTTACACAAACCTAGTGAGAGGAACCACTCAAGTTCTTGCCTAACAACAGAGAATCCTGACTATGTTCGTCACATCTGTGATTTAACTTTGTCTGTCCAATAGGTTACTAAAAAGTTCCCATCACTCTCAGTAGACTTAGGTAGCACTGTTATAGTGTGAGGACACATCAAGGCTCTACTATTCTTTCATAATGATGTGATGTTACTAGGGCTGTTACGGTCACCATAATACCGCCACACCGGTGGTCACGAGTCATGACTGCAGTCAAATTCCACTTGACCGTTTAGTCATGGTAATTGGGCTTCTCCAAGCTCTGATGCTGCTGATGGTCATTAGTATTCTACCAAACTTGCTAACTGCCTGGTACTCAGCACTCTAGTGTCCCTCTAATCACTCTGACATCAATGCAAATGAAATCAAACACTTCATTGGAGCCCATGAACTCATGTTGCTCAACATTTCTATAGGCAATGCAATTGCGTGAGAAAACAGAGTGATGGCCTCTATTAAAAAGAGGAGGATCCCATCATCTTTCTATAGGCTAGGCCTACTATATTTATTTCTCAACATTGCTAATATTAAGCACATTTGCTTCTCTTTACAACAGGAGTATAGCCTACCTGGCTCGTGTTATGATGAGTTTCTAGGGTATCAAGCAATTAAGGATGTAAGAATATATTTAGACACTCTGTGGACAGTTAATACAAATGTTTAATAGTCGGTACCGGGTTCGATATAACAACAGACAGGGCTCTGCCTCTTGCCTCTTGCGAACTACTGAACAAAGACAATATCTCAGCTTATATAGCCTCGAGTACACATTTCTTCACAAACATCTGGTAACCATCAGTGGGCACTCCCTTATTTGATGTTATTCCCTTGTCCCCAAGTCAGTATATCATATCCATTAATCATTCTAAGGTAAACATCAGTAATCTCCTTTGGCATAATGGAATGCATGACCCCCCCCCCCCCAGACTGTGAGGCGCCAAGTCACTTTCTACTAAAGTCAACCTGGTTCCCATCACACTATGTAAACATCATAACAGCTGGCATGAAAATGAACCGCGGGAAAAGCGTCCTCCATTCGCTATTTAAGTGGATAGATGACATTTATTTTTTTCCCCTGCCCCTGTTTCGAGACAGGTGCATGATAATGGTCTATTCTAAATCAAAGGAAATGTCACATACTATTTAGTATATGTAAAGACAACATTACATCAAGAATAGTCTGATTGGTGACAATATTAGCCTATCACTTGCGAATTATACAGTGAGGGAAAAAGGTATTTGATCCCCTGCTGATTTTGTACGTTTGCCCACTGACAAAGAAATGATCAGTCTATAATTTTAATGGTAGGTTTATTTGAAGTGAGACAGAATAACAACAAAAAAATCCAGAAAAACGCATGTCAAAAATGTTATAAATTTATTTGCATTTTAATGAGGGAAATAAGTATTTGACCCCCTCTCAATCAGAAAGATTTCTGGCTCCCAGGTGTCTTTTCTACAGGTAACGAGCTGAGATTAGGTGCACACTCTTAAAGGGAGTGCTCCTAATCTCAGTTTGTTACCTGTATAAAAGACATCTGTACACAGAAGCAATCAATCAATCAGATTCCAAACTCTCCACCATGGCCAAGACCAAAGAGCACTCCAAGGATGTCAGGGACAAGATTGTAGACCTACACAAGGCTGGAATGGGCTACAAGACCATCGCCAAGCAGCTTGGGGAGAAGGTGACAACAGTTGGTGCTATTATTCGCAAATGGAAAAAACACAAAAGAACTGTCAATCTCCCTCGGCCTGGGGCTCCATGCAAGATCTCACCTCGTGGAGTTGCAATGATCATGAGAACGGTGAGGAATCAGCCCAGAACTACACGGGAGGATCTTGTCAATGATCTCAAGGCAGCTGGGACCATAGTCACCAAGAAAACAATTGGTAACACACTACGCCGTAAAGGACTGAAATCCTGCAGCGCCCTCAAGGTCCCCCTGCTCAAGAAAGCACATATACAGGCCCGTCTGAAGTTTGCCAATGAAGATCTGAATGATTCAGAGGAGAACTGGGTGACAGTGTTGTGGTCAGGTGAGACCAAAATCGAGCTCTTTGGCATCAACTCAACTCGCTGTGTTTGGAAGAGGAGGAATGCTGCCTATGACCCCAAGAACACCATCCCCACCGTCAAACATGGAGGTGGAAACATTATGCTTTGGGGGTGTTTTTCTGCTAAGGGGACAGGACAACTTCACCGCATCAAAGTGACGATGGACGGGGCCATGTACCGTCAAATCTTGGGTGAGAACCTCCTTCCCTCAGCCAGGGCATTGAAAATGGGTCGTGGATGGGTATTCCAGCATGACAATGACCCAAAACACACGGCCAAGGCAACAAAGGAGTGGCTCAAGAAGAAGCACATTAAGGTCCTGGAGTGGCCTAGCCAGTCTCCAGACCTTAATCCCATAGAAAATCTGTGGAGGGAGCTGAAGGTTCGAGTTGCCAAACGTCAGCCTCGAAACCTTAATGACTTGGAGAAGATCTGCAAAGAGGAGTGGGACAAAATCCCTCCTGAGATGTGTGCAAACCTGGTGGCTAACTACAAGAAACGTCTGACCTCTGTGATTGCCACCAAGTACTAAGTCATGTTTTGCAGAGGGGTCAAATACTTATTTCCCTCATTAAAATGCAAATCAATTTATAACATTTTTGACATGCGTTTTTCTGGATTTTTTTGTTGTTATTCTGTCTCACTTCAAATAAACCTACCATTAAAATTATAGACTGATCATATCTTTGTCAGTGGGCAAACGTACAAAATCAGCAGGGGATCAAATACTTTTTTCCCTCACTGTATATTATTACTTGTGAATGATGCCCAGTTAAGGCAAGAAACAGCCATGCGTTTTGAGACTTTTTCAAATCATAGTTGCGCACCTCATGTAGCCTAGCCCGTAGGCCTATATGTTTTGATAAGGTTTGTATCACAACTAAAGTGGCCAAATAACTTCTTAAAATGAAGCACATGAATCCGCTTTACAATGGGGGTAGAGCCTAACTGGCATACATAAGCAGCGCGTGAGTTTCAAGTTTGGGGAAGATAATTTTCACCATAAAAATGCACCTTTATACTGTTTGGAATATTCATTTATAGCATAGAATAGGTCAACTTTTGTACTATGGGGGATAGTAGATTGACATAGGCTAGTGCTTTTGCTGTTCGTTAGGCCTACTCATCATCTTGGCTGACGAAAAGTATATGACATTTCTTCCAATATCTTCAATATGCGCCTCGGAATTGGATAAGGACGCGCGCAGTTGCGTCCCCGATGTGTCTGTCTTCACTTCTAGCCTGTGAGAAAGACCCGATCACCTGACGGTGAGAGGTGCTTCGGCACGCAGCCAGGAGAAGGGAATTATAATATTCAGCCCAAGGGCACAACGGCCACTGGCCGCAAAAGGCATGGATTCTTTTGGGGTGAATTACGGCTACACAAATGGGATGCAGCTGGGAAATTTGAGGCATTATCAAGTGCTTGTCAAATTGTGAATGAGAGAGACTGACGAACTGTGTAAACCTGCACAGAAAACCAAGCAGAGCTCATGCCTTTCATGCAACTTTTTTCAAATCATCATTAGAGTCGCATCATGCAGCCTTAGAATGTATTAAAACACAAAATAGCCTTCCCTCAAATCATTTGGAGAAAATATCATTTCTATTTTATACATTTATAATTCTAACACCGTTTACACATTTATACTGTATTTGGGGTGAAATCCTTTAGTCATTATTCTTAAAATACAAATTAATCTATCAATTTTAATCCGTTTTCTTCATACTATAAAATAATATAAATAATGCCACGGAATTCTAATCATATCTTGCCTGCTAAATGAACTAGTGTAGCCCACAGCCATATGGCATAGCCAGATCAGGGCCTAACATAAGGACAACTCAGAGAATGCTATTCTGTTCTTCTGAAATAGACTACATTTTCTTCATATCATGTTTCTTTAGATCTGTCTAAAATAAATAATGGATTTATTGTGATGAGTAGGCTATTTTACATGCATTTATTAGACTTTTTGAAATGTAGATGTTCCAAAGGTCTGCATCAGTGGCTTGTAGGCTATGCGTGGAAGCCAGGAGATGCTAGCGATGTACTGGGCCGTACGCACTACCCTCTGCAGCGCCTCGCGGTCGGATACCAAGCAGTTGCCATACCAAGCTGTGATGCAGCCAGTCAAGATGCTCTCAATGGTGCAGCTGTATAACTTTTTGAGGATCTGACGGCCCATGCCAAATCTTTTAAGCCTCCTTAGGGGGAAGAGACGTTTTCGTGCCCTATTCACGAATGTGTTGGTGTGTTTGGACAATGATAGATCCTTAGTGATGTGGACACCAAGGAACTTGAAGCTCTCAACCCGCTCCACTATGGGGGAGTGCTCAGCCCTCCGTTTGCTGTAGTCCACAATCATCTCCTTTGTCTTGCTGACGAGAGGTTGTTGTCCTGGCACAGAGTATGTGAGCGGAGTTGAGTGGTTGCACCCATCAAACCATTTGGTTTTGAAGTATTGAAACCAAACCATATGATTTGAATGAAAAGTAGTTTAATAAACAACATTTACATTTACATTTTAGTCATTTAGCAGACGCTCTTATCCAGAGCGACTTACAGTTAGTGAGTGCATACATTATTTAAATTTTTTTCTTACTGGTCCCCCGTGGGAAACGAACCCACAACCCTGGCGTTGCAAACACCATGCTCTACCAACTGAGCTACACGGGACTAACAACATGAAAAGGTGACTGTAAGAGGCGCTCATCATTTCAAATAGGCTACATGTCATATTAAACAGCATATAAACACAGTAGGTCAGGAGCCAGACAGGTTGCCTAAGAAAATAAATGATTAGCCTATTTCAATTATTTCAAGGCTATAGCCTACAAATTTTAATTAATTGTGAAGCATTTGCGAGTGCGACACACTAGGCTGGTGGTAACATTAAGCGCTCAGCATTTAAACAACATTTTGTTGTATTAAATCATTATAGTCTATAAATTGCACATATAGGCTGTGACTTCGAATTAAATAAAAATGAAACAAAAAATTCCTTGTTAGGCTCAGTGCCTTTTGAATTCACTTTTATAAACACTAGTTTGGCCAGAGTCTGTGGCTTCAGGCTCATGCGATGGTGCCTGGAGAGCAGGCCAGCAGCAGAGAATACCCTCTCCACGCTTGTTGAGCCACTGGGTTTTTAGGCAGAATAACGCTATCAAAACGGGAAGCTCCTTGAAAGAGGTCATATGTCAGGCCTATTGGGCCAAAATCAATGATAGCCTATTGTATAGATAATAGAACGAAAATGAACTAAACTTTAACTCTTTAAAAAAAAAAAAAAAAATGCTACAATGACACACTTAGCTAGCTACCCACTTTGTTCCTTTCTGTTAGCATGTGCACGTAGTACACCATCATGCTTTCAGGATATGTGTCAGATTCCACAATTATTCTTTAGTTGTGGACACTACATCACCGCACTCCCTCTCTTATTCTTGTTCCTCATGTTTGTAAGTCTCCTTGATTTTGCACCTGTGTGTTTGATCAGTTTCTTTATGAAAATATTTAGCGAACTCCATGCCACTAGCTAAAGCAAGGGGCTTATAGCAGCACACAAGTAGCCTACAAATGCATGCTGGGCCGGGCATGCCCTGAGCTCGTGAAGTGAGTGGTACTGGAGCGAAATTGGGAGCGGGCGAGAAGGCAGATGCTCCAGCCTTTGGGAAACTCTGTCTGCGCTCCAGTCAAATTGGCCACGCTCCTCCCTCCGCTCACATACTCTGTCTGTCACGCCCTGACTCAGGGGACTCTTATATGTTGAGTCAGGGTGTGAATGTTCTATGTTGTATTTTCTATGTTTGTGATCTAGGTGGTAGTTCTATGTTTGGCCGGGTGTGTTTCCCAATCAGAGGCAGCTGTCGCTCGTTGTCTCTGATTGGGGATCATACTTAGGCAGCCTATTGGCACTAGTTAGTTGTGGGATCTTGTTCCGTGAGTAGGCTTGTTTTGTGTTTAGCCTTAGGACTTCACGTTTCGTTGGTTTGTTGTTTTTCGTGTGTTTACCATTTAAATAAACATGTACGCATTTCACGCTGCGCCTTGGTCTGACCCGTCCTTAAACGAATGTGACACTGTCCTGGCAACACACTGCCAGGTCTCTGACCTCCTCCCTATAGGCTGTCTCAATGTCATCGGTGATCAGGCCTACCAATGATTTTTAATTCATATCACGTGTCATGAACAGTCATGTGTGATCAGTCTGTTGTTCATATTTAAACTTTTAAGGAAATGCGTATACATAGCTTTTAAGTACTTTTCTGTGTCCTCGGTCGCCTTGCATTAACCCATTGTTGACATTACGTGTACTTTACTTTTTAACCTGAAGCGTTTAAAAATGTGTCATAAAACAGGTTTGTGGGCCCTTCCTGTAGACTCAGAGTATTGATTGACACGCTCTTTACACAGGACTTTGATGTACCGGGCCATATGTGGCACTTCCTTGTTGAAGATGGCAAATGCTGCCTTCTAGGCATTTATGACTTTAATGATAGAAGTGATTGTGGAGAATGAAAGTAGAGCTTTCAATCTTTTGACTGTGGCAAGATTGCCAGTGAATGTCTGCTTTTATCTGGTGCTATATAGAACAAATGGCATGGCATGGGAATAGTGTGGGTAGAATAGAATCTCTCTTCATATTGTTTAGGGTCATGTGCTCACAGTTGTTGTTTTTATGTCAACAGAATTAAGTATAGGCAACATGCTGCTTTTGTGCAAATTGTTGAGGAAAATTTTTGCCTCTCCCCCCCCCCTCGCATTTCTTCAGAGGAGCCTCCACAGGAGAATGGGGTTATCCAGAGCACCCAGGACCAGTACAGCTCCACCTCCCCGCCGGCCTCAACAACCCCGGACGACGAGCCCTTCTCTACATACTTTGAGGAGAAGGTGCCAATCCCAGAGGATGTCACCCAGGTACTGAGGCCATCATGTGGCGTATGACCTCACAGGGATTATTAACACAGAGCCTATGACCCCCAGGGTCTATGACATCACAAGGAGTATTATGGTGCTTTCACGACAACTCAGAACCTCAAAGTTAAAATGTGCATATGTTTTTTTGCGTAGAGCTTCCTATTGGTTGATTCTGATACTTTCCAAGTAGGAAACTCTGAGCTCATCTTTCTTCGAGTTTGAGTTTCCGAGTTGTCTGGAACGCGGCATTAACTCACAGAGCCTATGGCATCACAGGGCTTTCATGACGGCACAAGGTCTATGACCTCAGTTATTGAGTCATAGAGCCTATGGAATTACAGGAATTATTATAACCTCACTAGGTCTGACATCACAATGATTGAGTCATAGAGCCTATGATATCACAGGGATTATTATTACCTCAGTTAGTGACATCACAGGGCCTATGACCTCAAAGAGCCTATTACATTAACCTTATGACCTGTATAAAGTGATATACACCAAGTTGCTTTATTTTAGAAATTATGAATAATCCTAACTTTAATGACAGATAATACTTCATGCTACGATTTATTTTCAGGCGTTGATTGTGCTATCCGTGATTCTCTCATTCAGATGTTCAGTTTCCGTAAACTCTGGGCCTTTACGGGACCAGGTTTCTTGATGAGCATCGCCTATCTGGACCCAGGAAACATTGAGTCTGACCTACAGTCTGGAGCTAAAGCTGGCTTTAAGGTGAACACAGACACATCAGCCATGGGTGACCTTCACACTCAAGGGGCAGGGGTACCATGCTCAATAATTATTTCCTCTGCAAAGTTCTATCTCCGTTTGACAGTAAAGTTGTATTTTATTAAATTCTATAATCAGCATACCCCCTTCCCTCTGGTCTTTTTGCTCTTGGTTATCTCTTTCATTTACTCATTTAATCCCATGCTTCATCATCATTGTTTCGTTCTCCGTCTCTCAGCTCCTGTGGGTATTGTTAGGGGCCACCATCATCGGCCTCCTCCTGCAGAGGCTGGCTGCACGCCTGGGGGTTGTCACAGGGATGCACCTCGCAGAGGTCTGCAACCGCCAGTACCCCACTGTGAGTATCCCTCCCTCGCCTTCCACACACACACACGCTCTAGTTCTTCATACACACTCTTGTATAACATGATATAAAAGGGTTTGGTTTTGTTTAAAGTAATTGAATGTGGTGGCTGTGCGTGTTATTTCCAGTCTTGTTATTCACACCTCCATCCCCTTCTCACTCCCAGGTTCCTCGTATTATCCTGTGGCTGATGGTGGAGCTGGCCATCATTGGCTCAGACATGCAGGAGGTCATCGGCTGTGCCATTGCCTTCAACCTCCTCTCTGTGGGCAGGTAGTTACAGTACCACCCACCAGCGCCCAACTACACTACACTTTACTTTCACTAAGAGTCAAATCAAAATGTATTTGTCACATGCTTCGTAAACACGTGTACACTAACAGTGAAATGCTTACTTACAGGACCTTCCCAACAATGCAGAGACAAATATATAAATAGTAGAACAAATAGAAAAATTATAACACAAGGAATAAGTACACAATGATTAACGATAACTTTGCTATATACGCAAGGTACCAGTACTGGGTTGATGTGCAGGGGTAAGAGGTAATTGAGATAGATATGTACATATCGGTAGGGATAAAGTGACTAGGCAAAAGATAGATCAGAAACAGCAGCGTATGTGATGAGTCAAAAGAGATTAGTGCAAAAAGGGTCACCGCCTGGTCTAGAGGTCCTGGATGGCAGGGAGCTCGGCCCCAGTGATATACTGGGCCGTACGCACTACCCTCTGTAGCGTCTTGTGGTCGGATGCCAAGCAGTTGCCATACCAAGCGGTGATGCAGCCAGTCAAGATGCTCTCAATGGTGCAGCTGTAGAACCTTTTGAGGATGTCAGGGCCCATGCCAAATCCTTTCAGCCTCCTGAGGGGGAAGAAGCGTTGTCGTGCCCTCTTCACGATTGTGTTGATGTGTGTGGACCATGATAGTTCCTTAGTGATGTGGACACCGAGGAACTTGAAGCTCTCGACCTGTTCCACAACAGCCCGTGGATGGGGGCGTGCTCGGCCCTCCGTTTCCTGTAGTCTTGCTGACGTTGAGGGAGAGGTTGTTGTCCTGGCACCACACTGCCAGGTCTCTGACCACCTCGCTGTAGGCTGTCTCAATGTCGTCGGTGATCAGGCCTACCACCGTTGTGTCATCGGTAAACCTAATGATGGTGTTTGAGTCGTGCGCCACGCAGTCATCGGTGAACAGGTAGTACAGGAGGGGACTAAGCACGCACCCCTGCGGGGCCCCTGTGTTGAGGGTCAGCATGATGGATGTGTTGTTGCTTACCCTCACCACCTGGGGGCAGCCCGTCAAGAAGTCCAGGATCCAGTTGCAGAGGGAGGTGTTTAATCCCAGGGTCCTTAGTTTAGTGATGAGCTTGGAGGGCACAATGGTGTTGAATGCTAAGTTGTAGTCAATGAACAGCATTCTTACGTAGGTATTCCTTTTATCCAGGTGGGAAAGGGCAGTGTGGAGTGCAATAGCGATTGCGTCATCTGTGGATCTGTTGGGATGTTGATGTGAGTCATGACCAGCCTTTCAAAGCATTTCATGGCTACAGATGTGAGTGCTACGGGGCGATAGTCATTTAGATAGGTTACCTTGGCGTTCTTGGGCACAGGGACTATGGTGGTCTGTTTGAAACATGTAGGTATTACAGACTGGGTCAGGGAGAGGTTGAAAATGTCAGTGAAGATACCAGCTGGTCAGAGCATGCTCTGAGTACGCGTCCTGGTAATCTGTCTAGCCCTGTGGCTTTGTGAATGTTAACCTGTTTAAAGGTCTTACTCACATCGGCTACAGAGAGCGTGATCACACAGTTGTCCGGAATAGATGGTGCTGTCATGCATAGTTCAGTGTTCCTAGCTTCGAAGCGCACAGAGAAGGTAGGCTTGCGTCACTGGACAGCTCACGACTGGGTTTCCCTTTGTCATTTGGGTATGCATCCCAAATGACACCCTATTCCCTATACAGTGCATTCGGAAAGTATTCAGACCCCGTGACTTTTTCCACAATTTGTTACGTTACAGCCTTATTCTAAAATGGATTAAATAAAGTGTCCTCATCAATCTACACACAATACCCCATAATGACAAAGCGAAAACAGGTTTTCAGAAATGTTTGCACATAAATAAAAAACCGTAAAACCTTTTACATAAGTATTCAGACCCTCTGCTATGAGACTCGAAATTGAACTCCGATGCATCCTGTTTCCATTGATCAACCTTGAGTTGTTTCTACAACTTGATTGGAGTCCACCTGTGGTCAATTCAATTGACTGAACATGATTTGGAAAGGCACACACCTGTCTTTATAAGACAGGATTGTGTCGAGTCACAGATCTGGGGAATGGTACCAAAACATTCCTGCAGCATTGAAGGTCCCCAAGAACACAGTGGCCTCCATCATTCTTAAACCTGGTTTCAAAAAACAGATAAAGCAACACCTCACGGCACAACGCCTCTCCCCTATTTGACCTAGATAGTTTGTGTGTATGTATTGATATGTAGGCTACGTGTGCCTTTAAAAAAATGTATGTAGTTCTGTCCTTGAGTTGTTCTTGTCTATTAATGTTCTGTATTACAGTGGCTTGCAAAATTATTCACCCCCTTGGCATATTTCCTATTTTGTTGCCTTACAACCTGGAATTAAAATGGGTTTGTTTCATTTGATTTACACAACATGCCTACCACTTTGAAGATGCAACATATTTTTGTTTGTGAAGCAAACAAGAAATAAGACAAAAAAACAGAACTTGAACGTGCATAACTATTCAATACTTTGTAGAGACACCTTTTGCAGCAATTACAGCTGCAAGTCTCTTGGGGTATGTCTCTATAAGCTTGGCACATCTAGCCACTGGGATTTTTGCCCATTCTTCAAGGCAAAACTGCTCCAGCTCCTTCAAGTTGGATGGGTTCCGCTGGTGTACAGCAATCTTTAAGTCATACCACAGATTCTCAATTGGATTGAGGTCTGGGCTTTGACTAGGCCATTCCAAGACATTTAAATGTTTCCCCTTAAACCACTCGAGTGTTAATTTAGCAGTATGCTTAGGGTCATTGTCCTGCTGGAAGGTGAACCTCCGTCCCAGTCTCAAATCTCTGGAAGACTGAAACAGGTTTCCCTCAAGAATTTCCCTGTATTTAGCGCCATCCATCATTCCTTCAATTCTGACCAGTTTCCCAGTCCCTGCCGATGGAAAAACATCCCCACAGCATGATGCTGCCACCACCATGCTTCACTTTGGGGATGGTGTTCTTGGGGAGATGAGAGGTGTTGGGTTTGCGCCAAACATAGCGTTTTCCTTGATGGCCAAAAAGCTCAATTTTAGTCTCATCTGACCAGAGTACCTTCTTCCATATGTTTGGGGAGTCTCCCACATGCCTTTTGGCGAACACCAAACGTGCTTGCTTATTTTTTTCTTTAAGCAATGGCTTTTTTCTGGCCACTCTTCCGTAAAGCCCAGCTCTGTGGAGTGTACGGCTTAAAGTGGTCCTATGGACAGATACTCCAATCTCCGCTGTGGATCTTTGCATCTCCTTCAGGGTTATCTTTGGTTTCTTTGTTGCCTCTCTGATTAATGCCCTCCTTGCCTGGTCCGTGAGTTTTGGTGGGCGGCACTCTCTTGGCAGGTTTGTTGTGGTGCCATATTCTTTAAATTTTTTAATAATGGATTCAATGGTGCTCCGTGGGATGTTCAAAGTTTCAGATATTTTTTTTATAACCCAACCCTGATCTGTACTTCTCCACAACGTTGTCCCTGACCTGTTTGGAGAGCTCCTTGGTCATCATGGTGCCACTTGCTTGGTGGTGCCCCTTGCCTAGTGGTGTTTTAGACTCTGGGGCCTTTCAGAACAGGTGTATATATACTGAGATCATGTGACACTTAGATTGCACGCAGGTGGACTTTATTTAACTAATTATGTGACTTCTGAAGGTAATTGGTTGCACCAGATCTTATTTAGGGGCTTCATAGCAAAGGGGGGTGAATACATATGCACGCACCACTTTTCCGTTATTTATAGATTGATGAGGGGAAAAACGATTTAATCCATTTTAGAATAAGGCTGTAACGTAACAAAAAAATTGGAAAAAGTCAAAGGGTCTGTATACTTTCCGAATGCACTGTATAATGACTTTTGTTCAAAAGTAGTGTATAATATAGGGAATAGGGTGCCTCTGGTCAAAAGTGGAGATGCAGACATAGGTGACATTTGGGATGCAGAAATAGGTGACATTTGGGATGCAGACATAGGTATAAAACGACCGCTCTAGAGGTCAACGTATTGGGGTCAAGCTAACATTGTTGTTTGCCATCTACCAGGATTCCACTTTGGGGAGGTGTCCTCATCACCATCATTGACACCTTTGTGTTCCTCTTTTTAGATAAATATGGTGAGTGTTTCTTTGACACATACTAAAATGTGTATGTGATTAAATGGTCCTTGGGTACAGGTGTGTATCAATTTCTGGCTGGGCGTGTTTCAATGTGATTTTCAACTTTTGTTTTTTAGGCCTGAGGAAACTTGAAGCCTTCTTTGGGTTTCTCATCACAATCATGGCTGTAAGCTTTGGGTATGAGGTAAGAACAAGTTTTTCCCTGTGTTGATCTTTAACACTTTTGTCCCCCTTCTCCCGTAGACCTGGCAGCTGGTTTTGATAGTATGTAGCGCAGCTTTGATAGAATTTGGTAGGTTTTTGTTTCTACGTGTGTGTATCTGACTGGCATTTCTTGTATGTGCCTGTAGTATGTGATGGTGCGTCCGGACCAGGGGGAGCTGCTGAAGGGGATGTTTCTGCCGTACTGTGACAGCTGTGGTCCTGCCCAGATGGAGCAGGCTGTGGGCATCGTAGGAGCCGTCATCATGCCCCACAACATCTACCTGCACTCAGCCCTCGTCAAGGTAGGTGTCTTGCCTTTATGACATGGGACAGAGGAGTCAAAGACCTGCTTTATGACATAGTATGGGCCCTCAGATCCTCAAAAAGTTATACAGCTGCACCATTGAGAGCATCTTGACTGGTTGCATCACCGCTTGGAATGGCAACTGTGGCATCCGACCGCAAGGCGCTACAGAGGGTAGTGCATACGGCCCATAGTGTAAGACTTTCACTGACATCGTACAGGGGAGCTAAATGCCTTTACTGTGACAGTACAGTTGAGTCAAATAAGTAATTGGGACATAGTACATGGAATCAGACCTTCACTTAAAACCAAACAAGGGCCAACCGAAATTTGACTTCCGCTTTTAACCCAACCCCTCTGAAAGACACAAATATGCTTACATAAGGGTCTTTCTATAAATAATGGGGCCAATGTTGATCCCAATGTCACACATTTGAAATACTTTGAAACAAATGGTGTCCAAAAAAAGTAGGCCATTATCACTTTAAGAATAATGCATTTTGTAGGCCTTTCCAATGCATTGATATTCAAATTATTATTGCATTCTAAAATATGTGAGAATAATGTGGACATTGTCTGACTAAATAGATTGGATGCATGCATTTTTAAGCCATGAATGGCGGTAGCATTAATCTCACCATTTGAATCTCACCATCGCTGTTTTTATAATGAGAAAGTGACCAAAAACCAGGTTGCTTTTTTAATGGAAGGATTTGTATGGAAAGCAAAGTTGAAGCCAACATTAGATGTTGTCGTCCTCATAATAACCGCACATGGTTTTACTGCAACAGAGTAGCGTAACACCCTTCAATTGAAGTGGTGGGAAAAAAATGAAATCACAGAAAATTATAAGGGTGTAATTATAACTTATAAATTGGCTACAATAATTACAAGGACTTTTCAAGCGCCAAATTGAGGAAATGTCGGATTTTTAAGGTAGGCCTATTACATTATTTTAATTTCTGAGCTCCAAGTTCAAGTAAGCTACTTCAAGCCCCTTGTATTGTTTAAAATTGCAGGTGTAACATGGGAATTGTTTTTTATTTGTCATGTAAAGTGTTGGTCCCATGTTTCATGAGTTGAAATAAAAGATCCCGGAAATGTTCCATACGCACAAAAAGCTTATTTCTCTAAAATGTTGTACGCAAATTTGTTTACACTCCTGTTAGTGAACATTTCTGCTTTGCCGAGATAATCATCCACCTGACAGGTGTGACATATCAAGGTGCTGTGTGCTGAGGACAATAAAAGGCCACTCTAAAATGTGCAGTTTTGTCACACAACACAATGAAACAGATATCTCAGGTTTTGAGGGAGCTTACAAATGGCATGCTGACTGCAGGAATGGCCACCAGAGCTGTTGCCAGAGAATTGAATGTTCATTTCTCTACTATTTGTGAGACCCATTTTTTTTTTAAAGGGGGAATATCTGTATTCCCAGTCATATGAAATCCATAGATTAGAGCCTAATGAATGTATTTCAATTAACTGATTTCCTCATATGAACTGTAACTCAGTAAAACCTTTGAAATTGTTGCATGTTGCGTTTATATATTTGTTCAGTATAATTTGTCATTATATCCAGAATAATTCATAGGAATAGCGTTTGGTTTTGCGCAATATTCTATCCCAGTGGATCCCAAACTGTGGGACGGGTTAAAGGAACTCAGTCCGGCTTTAAACTTACTCTTGAAAGTTGTAGTAGTAGAATGCACAAGGAATAATTTCGAAATTGGATAGTGCATCATCAGTTCCTCTTATCATGTCAGTCATTGCAGACCTTGGAGAGCTATTTATAACTTGTCAGAAATGTCCAGATTAACTAGCCCATGTCAGGTAACATTTTTTTATTTCGTTTTTTTAACCCATAGAGTATGGTGCAATTTTTTAGTCACTCAAATCACATGAACACACATTAGACGTGGGAAAATGTATAGAATTGCAAGAACATTTGCAACATTGTCTTTGCACCCCATGACAAAATCTGTATAATTGCAGGAAATAAGCTTTAACCTGCAAAATTGTCTCCACCAACAAGAGGGGTGTGAACAGTTTGTGTCATGAACAGTGCTTTTACCCATTGAAATAGATTAGACGCATGCGCAGCGGGGGCGCGGGATGTTCCCCAATGCTGGAAGGGGGGCCCCGAGTGATAAAGTTTGGGAACCCCTGGTCTATCCTACACAATTGCACACAGTAGACTCATATGAAAACATTAACTCATTACCTTGATGCTTTCTCTGTTAAATCTAATGAGATCCTGTTGTAAATCAAGCAACAGATGATCAACATCAATTCGCTAGGGATATTAGAGCCAATGTAGAACCAGACACAACTGTCTTCACCTGCGTAACGAATGAGAAGGCAAAATATTCTGGACATTCCTCGCAAACACTTTTTTTCCCAGCACTTGGGCTGCTGTTGCATCGCATGCACCATCACAACAGCTGTTAGTCATTTGATTGTCATTCGGAAAATTCCTTCTTGGATCAGATGATGTGAAAATATCACAGCGTAACTAATCAGCTGGACACCAAATGCACATCCAACAAGTATTATGCATAATTATTGAAGAACCACGTTAATGACAGCATTGATTTAGGTTTTAAGTATGAAGGTAAGGTGACTGAAAGTCCAATGTCACAGGAATTGTGATTTATATTTTAATTACTTTTAATTATATTTTATCATCTAGTCTCGGTCAATAGATCGTGGGAACAAGAAGGAGGTGAAGGAGGCCAACAAATATTACTTCATGGAGTCGACTATCGCGCTCTTCATCTCCTTCCTAATCAACGTCTTCGTTGTAGCAGTGTTTGCCGAGGCCTTCTACAAAAAAACCAACATTGAAGTGGTGGGTATAACGACTAACCAGACCCAGCATGTTGTATTTTGTCTCAGAATGTAACACTCCTTAACAGATGTTTTATTTAAGCAATAAGGCCCGAGGAGGTGTGGTATATGGCTAATATACAGTTGAAGTTGGAAGTTTACATACACTTAGGTTGAAGTCATTAAAACTTGTTTTTCAACCACTCCACAAATTTCTTGTTAACAAACTATAGTTTTGGCAAGTCGGTTAGGACATCTACTTTATGTATGACACAAGTAATTTTTCCAACAATTGTTTACAGACAGATTATTTCACTTATAATTCACTGTATCACAATTCCAGTGGGTCAGAAGTTTACATACACTAAGTTGACTGTGCCTTTAAACAGTTTGGAAAATTCAAGAAAATGATATCATGGCTTTAGAAGCTTCTGATAGGCTAATTGACATAATTTGAGTCAATTGGAGGTGTACCTGTGGATGTATTTCAAGGCCTACCTTCAAACTCCGTGCCTCTTTGCTTGACATCATGGAAAAATCAAAAGAAATCAGCCAAGACCTCAGAAACAAAATTGTAGACCTCCACAAGTCTGGTTCATCCTTGGGAGCAATTTCCAAACGCCTGAAGGTACCACGTTCATCTGTACAAATAATAGTACGCAAGTATAAACACCATGGGACCACGCAGCCGTCATACCGCTCAGGAAGGAGACAAGTTCTGTCTCCTAGACATGAACGTACTTTGGTGCGAAAAGTGCAAATCAATCCCAGAACAACAGCAATGGACCTTGTGAAGATGCTGGATGAAACAGGTACAAAAGTATCTATATCCACAGTAAAACGAGTCCTATATCAACATAACCTGAAAGGCCGCTCAGCAAGGAAGAAGCCACTGCTCCAAACCCACCATAGAAAAGCCAGACTACGGTTTGCAACTGCACATAGGGACAAAAATTGTACTTCTTGGCGAAATGTCCTCTGATCTAATGAAACAAAAATAGAATTGTTTGGCCATAATGACCATCGTTATGTTTGGAGGAAAAAGGGGGATGCTTGCTAGCCGGAGAACACCATCTTAACCGTGAAGCACCGGGGTGGCAGTATCATGCTGTGGGGGTGCTTTGCTGCAGGAGGGACTGGTGCACTTCACAAAATAGATGGCATCATGAGGAAGGAAAATTATGTGGATATATTGAAGCAACATGTCAAGACATCAGTCAGGAAGTTAAAGCTTGGTCGCAAATGGGTCTTCCAAATGGACAATGACCCCAAGCATACTTCCAAAGTTGTGGCAAAATGGCTTAAGGACAACAAAGTCAAGGTATTGGAATGGCCATCACAAAGCCCTGACCTCAATCCTATAGAACATTTGTGGGCAGAACTGAAAAAGCGTGTGCGAGCAAGGAGGCCTACAAACCTGACTCAGTTACACCAGCTCTGTCAGGAGGAATGGGCCAAAATTCACCCAACTTATTGTGGGAAGCTTGTGGAAGGCTACCTGAAACGTTTGACCCAAGTTAAACAATTTAAAGGCAATGCTACCAAATACTAATTGAGTGTATGTAAACTTCTGACCCACTGGGAATGTGATGAAAGAAATACAAGCTGAAAATAAATCATTCTCTCTACTATTATTCTGACATTTCACATTCTTAAAATAAAGTGGTGATCCTAACTGACCTAAAACAGGGAATTTTTACTAGAATTAAATGTCAGGAATTGTGAATAACTGAGTTTAAATGTATTTGGCTAAGGTGTATGTAAACTTCCGACTTCAACTGTACCACGGCTAAGGGCTGTTCTTATGCATGACGCAATGCGGAGTGGCTGGACACAGCACTTAGCCGTGGTATATTTTACATTTGTCATTTAGCAGACGCTCTTATCCAGAGCGACTTACAGTTAGTATATTGTCCATATATCACAAACCCCCGAGGTGCCTTATTGCTATTATAAACTGGTTACCAACGTAATTAGAAGAGTAAAAATAACTGTTTTGTCATACTCGTGGTATATGGTCTGATATACCACGGCTGTCAGCCAATCAGCATTCAGGGCTCGAACCAGCCGGTTTATAAATAGTAATATAGCATGGCCAGTATGGCACCTCTAAACCAGTGATGTCCTTTGTTTGTGATGTGCTGCTGCTCTTCTCTGTGTGTCACAGAATGCAATGTGCAATGCATCAGGCAGTCCACACACAGACCTCTTCCCCCTGGACAACCGCATGCTACAGGTGGACATCTACAAGGGGGTAAGTCCTTAATGGATTAACAACAATCTACATAACCTCCTGTGATAGGAAATCACTTTGATACTGTATATCTGTCAATCATTTTTGGGGGTCTTGATAAGATGAATAACCATAGAGGGGACTGTCTTTCGTTCTCTGTCTCTCTCTCTCTGACTGTACAGGGGGTGGTGCTGGGTTGTTTCTTTGGCCCTGCGGCCCTCTACATCTGGGCCATCGGGATCCTTGCTGCCGGACAGAGCTCCACCATGACTGGCACTTACTCTGGCCAGTTTGTCATGGAGGTGAGAACGTGCAGATATACTCAATGACTGTGTTTCTGTGTGTATGAGAGCGTTTGCAAATTGTATTGTTAACCATTATTGTGTGTGTGTGTGAGTGAGAATACACACACCTCAGGGTTTTGTGTAGGTCCGGATGTGGGTGTGTTGACTGTTAGTTCTCTCTCTCGCTCTCTTTGCCCCTGGCTCAGGGTTTCCTGAATCTGCGTTGGTCCCGTTTTGCACGGGTGCTTCTCACCCGCTCCATCGCCATCTTCCCCACCCTGCTGGTGGCCATCTTCCAGGACGTGCAGCACCTGACGGGCATGAACGACTTCCTCAACGTGCTGCAGAGCATGCAGGTCGTGGAGAGAGAGAGAGTGGGAGGTCTGGGGACATGGAGGACAAAGGAGACAGGGAGGCTTGACAGAGAGAGGAGACATGAGGGCTGGGGACATGCAGGTCAGAGAGAGAGGAGACATGGGGGCAGGTCAGAGAGAGTATAGGCTGGGTCTTTGACATGCATGTTAGAGCGAGAGAGAGAACCATGGAGACTGGGTACTACTGTTCTCCCAGTGGGGAACAGCTAGTCAGGGCTGGCTGGGAGTATTTTAGGGTGTTACACTGATGCTTGTATTCAAAGGTATAGAAGGGGACTGAATGCAGTCAGTTTTAACTGTTCTTTCTGCCTTTCCTTGTTCTATAGCTGCCATTTGCTCTGATCCCCATCCTGACCTTCACCAGTCTGACATCCATCATGAATGACTTCGCTAATGGACTGTGAGTCATCATAACCCTCTACCCCAGAGATGGGCGGCAGTTAGCCTGCCAAATAGTGGTTAGAGCGTTGGGCCAGTAACCGCTTGTTCGAATCCCCGAGCCGACAAGGTGAAAAATCTGTCGATATGACCTTGAGCAAGGCACTAAACCTTAATTGCTCCAGGGTTGCCTTTGATAATGGCTGACCCTGGCCGTGACCCCACTCTGTGGGGAGTTGGGATATGCAAAAAAACACATTTCCAATTCACGCATGCGTATAATTCATACTTGTAAATAAAATAAGACACCCATCAAATTATTATTATATGACTTCGATTGGTTCTGTGTTTTCACTGATAGACCAATTAGAACCTAATTTTCTACTAGTGCTGAGCGATTAGTGCTTTTTGAGGTCGGTTCGGTTATTAAAAAATAATCCGTTTTCGATTTATTATTTTAAACATGAAATGTATTATGAAATAATGACATTAAAATGATTTTAGAGCTTCCCTCAGCCATCACCTGCCTTTTTCTTATAATAATAATAATAATAATAATAATATGCCATTTAGCAGACGCTTTTATCCAAAGCGACTTAGTCATGTGTGCATACATTTTTACGTATGGGTGGTCCCGGGGATCGAACCCACTACCCTGGCGTTACAAGCGCCATGCTCTACCAATTGAGCTACAGAGGACCACTGACAGTGGGTTGAATTCTGTAACAACACAGAATAAAACAATAAGAGCCCCATGATGGTAGTGAATGCCTATTACTGCTTGTCACTTATTAACCGTAATGTATTCACATTACTTACTTCAATACAATATTTCAGTTGTGTATATTACTTAGTTTTTATTTGATGACTTTATACTTTTTCATTCCTTTGTCATCTCATTTTACATTTTAGTCATTTAGCAGAAGCTCTTATCCAGAGTGACTTACAGTTAGTGCATTTGTCTTAAGATAGCTAGGTGTGACAACCACATATTACAGTCATAATAGTCGAGGGGATTATTTAAAATACTCTTTGAAGAGGTATGGTTTCAGTTGCTTTTGGAAGATGGGCAGGGACTATGCTGTCCTAGTTTCAGGGGGAAGCTGGTTCCAACATTGGGGTGCCAGGACAGAGAAGAGTTTGGACTGGGCTGAGCGGGGTGGGAGGGCCAAGAGACCAGAGGTGGTAGAACGGAGTGCTCGGGTTGGGATAAAGGGTTTGAGCATAGCCTGAAGGTAGGGAGGGGCAGTTCCTCTTGTTGCTCCGTAGGCAAGCACCATGGACCTGTAGTGGAACATTTGTTATTTTAGCAGATGCTCTTATCAAGAGCGACTTGTAGTGAAAGCTACATGTTTTTGTACTTTTTTTTTGTACTGGTCCCCCGTAGGAATCGATCCCACAACCCTGGCATTGCACGAGCCATGCTCTACCAACTGAGCCACACGAGACTCCATCTCATCTCTGCTCAAGCAGTAGCAGCCAGCCAGACAACCATCTAACGTTATCTCTGTGCTTCCCATTGAACAAGTTATCCTATTTAGCTAGGCTAGTAGTAGCTAGCTACAACTATCAATCTGGTAGAGCTACCTCACGAACTAACTATCCCTCTCGTCGTTGTGTTGTCATTCCTCTTTCATGCTGTCTCCTATGGTCTGTGTGTATCCACCTCTTTCCGTGGCCGGAAAGAACAGGTGCAATGGATTATGGTCATTCATTGTAGTTAATTACCACGTTTCTGCGCTGAACTAGGTTGAATATTTGCCTAATGAAAACTCTACTTCCAATCAGCCCAGCGTCCCACATAGTTCTTGACTTCATTTCTCTCTAGAGAAACCCGAACTAAATGGAATTAAAGTAATTGAACCGACGTCAGTCAATTAGCTGTTTAATAACCGAACCCCCCCCCCCCCCCCCCCTGAAATGTTGGTTAATCGCTCAGTACTATTCCCTACATATTATACTACTTTTGACCAGGGCCTGTAGGAAATAGGGTGCCATTTTGGATGCAGTTAGATTTTCTATATTTGCACTGATAGAGAAATGATTTCATAAATGTGATGACAGTGACAATTTATCATTGTGCCAACTTACCATCTCAGCTGTGCCTGTGCTCCTCAGGGTGTGGAAGATAGGCGGAGGGGTGGTCATCCTGGTGGTCTGTGCCATCAACATGTACTTTGTGGTGGTCTACGTCACCAGCCTAAACAGTGTGGCTCTCTACGTGCTGGCGGGCTTGCTTTGCATAGCGTACCTATGCTTTGTGGGCTACCTGGTAAGTTGCAGTAGCAGTCATTATAACACCATGGACCGGGCTAGATTAGCACAGAACACTGTATATCAATACCAAAATAAAGTGGCTACTTTTCAATACTGAATGCAGGGTTTGGAAAGATGCATTGTAAACTATTATAGGAAGTACAATGACCCTCTCCTGACCACCTCCCCTCTTTGTGTGTGTCCACAGGCGTGGCATTGTCTGATAGCCCTGGGGGTCACCTGTCTGGACATGTCCTGTCTGGCCAGCAGGGTAAGCAACAACAGACCTCCTGTGTTCATAGATAGAGGAACAGCCAGAGTATGGCACGTAAAACTGAACAGGACAGTGTTTTAAAAGACAGACCAACCCGAATGTCGACTGTGCACAGTAGATCACCTGCTGGTTGTCAAAGAACCGTGGGTATTCACAGGGTGTCTGGGGGTTCTTAGTCTTAAATTAATGTATCTGTTTTCAAAGGTCTTAAAAAATGGGAAGGAGATGACTACAGTGTTTCCGTTATATTGTGCGGCTACTTAATTGTTGCCACCACGGCAAAAAAACTATTGAACATCAAATAATACTTGAGGCACACTTTAAAGATGTTAGAGAGCTATCCACGTGTGCGCCTCTGCGTGTGCCAGTGCGCGTCGGACCGTTGCCAGAGGAGAGAGAGGAGAGAACAAGGTAGCCTGTACAATTTGATAGACGACAAGACTAGAGCTGGGACTACAAAACAAAAATTACTGACACTGACATTGCCCTCTTCTTACCAAAGCAATTTTGCTTACATCGGTAATTTCGGTGATTCGGCTACACAACATTCCTGCAGATTTTTTGGTTCTAAAACCATTATTTGGTCAACAGTAATGTGCATTAACCTGCTTCCCACAATGAAAGTATCTGCCCTTTCCCTGTTTCGCTGCTGGCTCTCACACCCGCTCCCCTCTTTGCACACTGAGTAAAGGAAGAGATCCATTCTGATAAGTGCAAGCATACTGACAGTTGAGCAACATTTCAAAATGTAGGCTAATTGCAGGAAAGACCATTTTTAAAACAACTACTGTTAAAAAAGAGGAAAGTCTCTGCTTTATGAGTATAACAATTATTTCTCAACTGTCAATATAGAGCAAATAACACCACTTTACAAACAGTATGTCATTGAGATTATGCGCCAGCGGAACGGAGCGCACCATTTGTGCTGAAAAGGCATCAAGTAGCCTATATAGGCCTACCAATGGAAAGTTTTTGTAGAAGATTGAATTGCATGGCTATCTAGCAACCATATCATATTTAGATGATAGCTAATGTGTTTCGAGTTCCAATTTCCTCAGGTGGTAAATGATGTAGCCCTCCCGCTTAGCTACCTTGCTTTGAAGTATAGCCATTTGATACCTGATTCACTGAATGAGGGAATTATTTTATTCAACTTCTTGGTTTTACATTTACATTTTAGACATTTAGCAGACGCTCTTATCCAGAGCGACTTACAGTTAAGTGAGTGCATACATTTTCATACTGGCCCCCTGTGGGAATCGAACCCACAACCCTGGCGTTGCAAACGCCATGCTCTACCAACTGAGCTACATCCCTGGTTGTAGGCTAATGTTCAAATGTTATATCATAATACCTCCTGGAAAGCTCCTGGGTGAGTATACAATTGTTTTAGCCCCACTCTAACACCAGATTCTACAAATGAACTGCTCAACAGGACCTTGTTAAACTGACTCCGTTGTTTGAGCAGTGCTGAATCAAAAGCCTGCACACCCAGTGGCCTAGCTCTCCAGATGGAGAGTTGACAACATGTGTTTTATTCAGTAACAATGCTGTATATTTGACTTTAAGGCATTTTCCCCCATGGTATTAAGCTGGTATTGGTATCGAAGCCAAAATTCTGAACACTTAGTTTGTGATCTAGCTAATAATTAGCCCATTGGGGTAGCCTAAACAAATGCAGATGGGCAACCCCATGCTTCAGCCATCTATAGCCACTATGCTGCTACAGGAGAATGCTCATTGCTAAAATAGCACACCTGCCTGATAATGAGCCATGTAGGCTGTAGCCTTTGGTGAAAGAGCCAGCCTTAAAAATACTACTTTTTGCCAACATGGGCTCATTTCTAGAGGGGAATATTAGCAGGTGTGTGGAGCACGCAGACCTCAAAATTTTATATTAAATTGCATTCCAAGTAGCATTAAAAAGGTCTTAAAAAGTCTTAAATTCAACTTCATGGAACCTGCAGATACCCTGGATTTAACATGTAGAATCATCGGGAAAGGAACAGAAAATTACGCACCTGCTGTACACAACGGACGTTATTATGTAAACCCCAATGACAACAAACTCGTTCCTGTTCAGAGGCCTCCTTGTCACTTTGAGAGGATCCTCCGCGGTCAGCCATAGTTTTTGATATCCTGTATTTTCATGCTCAAGCAGAGCAGTTGTGACTTGTTCTCATGCTTTTCAATGAGAGAACTAAGTTTGAATTCTATTTCTCTCAAATTATTGCAGTCCTATTCCAGGTTAAGATGTGAAAAGTTAGTCTTGCACAATGGAAATTATTATGCTGCTGACATGATAATAAGCCCAAGTCTACAGTATTAGGTAGCTGCTATCTATCTATCTTGGATTGCGTCCTACCTCACAGGTCGCTCCTACCAGGTGGCGTGGCGAGAATCTGTCTCCGCACCACGTGCTCTCACCACTAGTGTCCCCCAGGGCTCAGTTCTAGGCCCTCTCCTATTCTCTCTATACACCAAGTCACTTGGCTCTGTCATATCTTCACATGGTCTCTCCTATCATTGCTACGCAGACGACACACAATTAATCTTCTCCTTTCCCCCTTCTGATAACCAGGTGGCGAATCGCATCTCTGCATGTCTGGCAGACATATCAGTGTAGATGACGGCTCACCACCTCAAGCTGAACCTCGGCAAGACGGAGCTGCTCTTCCTCCCGGGGAAGGACTGCCCGCTCCATGATCTCGCCATCACGGTTGACAACTCCGTTGTGTCCTCCTCCCAGAGTGCAAAGAACCTTGGCATGACCCTGGACAACACCCTGTCGTTCTCCGCTAACATCAAAGCGGTAACCCGATCCTGTAGGTTCATGCTCTACAACATTCGCAGAGTACGACCCTACCTTACACAGGAAGCGGCACAGGTCCTAATCCAGGCACTTGTCATCTCCCGTCTGGATTACTGCAACTCGCTGTTGGCTGGGCTCCCTGCCTGTGTCATTAAACCCCTACAACTCATCCAGAACGCTGCAGCCCGTCTGGTGTTCAACCTTCCCAAGTTCTCTCACGTCACCCCGCTCCTCCGCACACTCCACTGGCTTCCAGTTGAAGCCCGCATCTGCTACAAGACCATGGTGCTTGCCTACGGAGCTGCTCTGATCAGTCCCTACACCCAAACGAGGGCATTGCGTTCATCCACCTCTGGCCTGCTGGCCCCCCTACCTCTGCGGAAGCACAGTTCCCGCTCAGCCCAGTCAAAACTGTTCGCTGCTCTGGCACCCCAATGGTGGAACAAGCTCCCTCACGACGCCGGGACAGCGGAGTCACTCACCACCTTCCGGAGACACTTGAAACCCCACCTCTTTAAGGAATACCTGGGATAGGATAAAAGTAATCCTTCTACCCTCCCCCTACCCCACCCCCCAAAAAAAGAAAAAAAAACATTTAAATGTTTTTGATATATTGTAAAGTGGTTGTCCCACTGGCTATCATAAGGTGAATGCACCAATTTTGTAAGTCGCTCTGGATAAGAGCGTCTGCTAAATGACGAAAATGTAAATGTATTTGGTATGAATGTTTTTTTTCCTTACTGTACACTCATGACCAAAAGTATGTGGACACCTGCTCGTCGAACATATAATTCCAAAATCATGGGCATAAATATAGAGTTGTTCCCCTTTTGCTGCTATAACAGCCTCTACTTTTCTGGGAAGGCTTTCCACTAGATATTAGAACATTGCTGCGGGGACTTGCTTCCATTCAGCCACGAGCATTAGTGAGGTCGGGCACTGATGTTTGGCGATTAGGCCTGGCTCGCAGTTGGCGTTCCAATTCATCCCAAAGGTGTTTGATGGGGTCGAGGTCAGGTCTCTGTGCGGGCCAGTCAAGTTCTTCCACACCGATCTCGACAAACCATTTCTGTATGGACCTCGCTTTGTGCACAGGGGCATTGTCATGCTGAAACAGTAAAGGTCCTTCCCCAAACTGTTACCACAAAGTTGGAAGCACAGAATCGTCTAGAATGTAATTGTATGCTGTAGCGTTAAGATTTCCCTTCACTGGAACTAAGGGGCCTAGCCCGAACCATGAAAAACAGCCCCAGACCATTATTCCTCCTCCACCAAACTTTACAGTTGGCACTATGCATTGGGGCAGGTAGTGTTCTCCTGGCATCCGCCAAACCCAAATTAGTCCGTCGGACTGCCAGATGGTGAAGCGCGATTCATCACTCCAGAGAACGCATTTCCACTGCTCCAGAGTCCAATGGTGGCGAGCTTTACACCACTCCAGCTGACGCTTGGCATTGCGCATGGTGATTTTAGGCTTGTGTGCAGCTGCTTGGCCATAGAAACCCATTTCATGAAGCTCCCGACAAACAGTTATTGTGCTGACGTTGCTTCCAGAGGCAGTTTGGAAGTCAATAGTGAGTGTTGCAACCGAGGAGAGACTATTTTTACGCGCTACACGCTTGTGTGGCCTACCACTTCGCGGCTGAGCCGTTGTTGTTGCTCCTAGACGTTTCCACTTCATAATAACAGCACTTACAGTTGACCGTGGCAGCTCTAGCAGGGCTAGTCTGTAGCAACCACTTCATAATAAAAGTCCCAATGACCCATACTCCTGCAGCTACGCATTGCACTGGGCTGACTGCATTTTATGCTGAATAAATATCACCAGGCCCTAGAAAGCCCAATGAGAAAAACTTGTTAAGTGTTGGTAAGCACTACTTTATTTTTGGTTGGTGTCCGTGATCGATTTCTTTGCATTTCTCAATTTGAGACCATAGATTCCAACGTATTGGCATTGAACAATCCCAGTCACAATCACTTGATGAAAAGGGCTTTGCTGCTTACAGTACGTAGCCTATGCGTAGTCAATATACAACTGCTTAAGCATGCCGGGAATGATTCATGAGTTGATGAATGGGACATCCTACCAATCGAGTGCTTATGACATTAAGTAATAAGATAATCAAACTCGGATTACATGAGATTAACCATCTCTCACCCTCTTCCTCACCTCTCAACAGATGCGTCTGGGGCTGACGGGCCACACTGACATTTACCTGCTGAATGACATGGACAGCGACACGATGGTGGAGACATTAGGACACGTTGGAGGGGTGGCCATTAGCAGTGGTACAGTCAGTAGCTAGAGA